CAGGAAAGATTAGAATCTTGAACTTTAACAACTCTTGTCGAAAAAGTAAAAAAATCCAAAAAATTTTACTATTTCTTATAAAATTAGACTTTTAAAATTTGATGAAGCTCTTTGTGATCTTAGATCTAGCATAAACTTAATGTCTTTAAATGTTTTCATGTAGCTAAGATGTAGAAAATTGAAACCTTAACCTTCTAAATTCAACCTGAAATTTGCTAACCAATCTATCAAAATACCATAAGAGATGTCGAAAAAATATTCTTGTGAAAGTTAGTAAGTATGCATTATTGTAGACTTTGTTACGCTAGATATGGAGGATGATACAGTTTCGTTATTGTTAGGTAAACTTTTTCTGTTGACTGCCAAAGCCTTAATTGATTTATACAACTGTAACTTGACCTTTAGATTCAAAAACAAAAAAAATACTGTTTGTAATTAGAAAGTATGGTATCTTTAGGGATGAAGATAATGTGAACATAGTAAAGGTAAAGAAAAACGTTAGGAAATCTAACTTAGTGGTTAAACCTCCTGATTCATTGATGCAAAGCTACTTGACAACACCTAGCTCTATTAGTGCCAAACCCATGATGAACTCAAGCTCAGTTTATGTGATTGCAGCTAGGAAAGTTAGTATACTTCATAAGACTAATTCTATTTATGTCATTCTTCAAAGAAGTATGCAATAAAGCAAACTCTTTCCTAAAGAGATAAGATGATTTTGATAGATTTAGGTATGTTCAAGCTTGATCAACAAGACTGGCATTGCTTGAGAAGCAACTCAAGTTTTACTTTAACAGTTTACGCTTTCTTTATTTTTATTAGGATAAATATGTTTTGATGTTTTTGTTTAAGTTTATCTTGATAAGAATGAAGCGAAGTAAAGAGGATATCTCATACAAATGAAGATTTAGACTTAAGCAAAATTTTAATGAGTATTTTTTTCCTTTGCTTTTTGTTTTAATATATTATTCAACTTATGTGTAAGGGAAAAATGCTTTTTGAACTTTTTCAAAATTTTAACCTTTTTTCTTTTAAACCAAATTTACCTGCTAGATTTCATTGATATGTATACTTAGCTAACTTTACATATATTCAAAGAATAACTTGAGTATGATATGAAGTTTGATGATAAGTATAGGGAAATTTGGAATGAATTCAAAAGTATGATTTTCTTTAGATATGAGTTTTATGCATGCATTTTTATTCTCTTTATATGAAATGTTTTGATTCTTCTGAGAGTTTGTGAGATGTTAAGTTGCATAGACATTTGAAAATATGAATCTTAACTCTAGAATTCATCTACTTAACCCTTGAGGTGAAATTTTAGATTATATTTGACATGATGCATCCTTAGTATTTATATTTTAAGCCTATTATATTACTCTCTTTTCCTTTGTTATTTCAACCACATAATAAACTTATTAAGCCTTTTCTTTTGATTACAATCCTTTCTTTTGTTTTTACCTAGCCCAATTATACTTACTCATTTATAATGGACATTTTTTGTATTTGGAAGAAAGAGAGGCATAAGGAATGAAAAGATAAAGAAAATGGCAAATGCAAGGCAAAGCTAATAAAGCCAAAAATGGCTAATTCTTTTTTTAAAAAAATCTATGAATAAAAGAATAAAGTGATGCCTCAAGTATTCAAAGTTTCAAAAAGCTCTTAAAATTGTCAATCTAAAATCTAAGAAATTTAAAGAAAGGAAACTAAGGGTTTATAAGCCTAAAATTTTTTTTCTAGTTTGACCCAAGCCTTACACTACAAGCCGAAAAGAATTTTTAATCTTGAGTCAAGTATATAAGTTTAACATTAATATAGAGGGAAAGGAAAAATGAACATATCAAGTTTATTTTGTTTTTAAATTGAAATGTGATGAAATGTTTTACAATTTTTTTTTGCTAGCATTATATGCATGATTTAAGGATTGAGTAAGTTTATATGTATAAAAAGCATAAGATATTGAGAGTTGCTTTTTAAAAAAATATCTTGTGGATCTATGTTTATAGTTAAATTTTGTATTATATGATAGTGCATGAATTGAATTTTATGTAATTTTTTACTTTGTGAGTATATATGATGATTTTTAGTTATACTGATTTCAAAATTTTGCTTTAACACAAGCAAAGATTCAAGTTTAGGGGTAATGATAACACCTAAAAATATAGGAATTTTACCAGTTAAAATTGGTGCTAAAATTTAAAATTTTGGTCAAAATTGGTACTTTTAATGCTATTTTTATGATTCTAGGGTTTCAAGCCTTTGGACATGATTGCCATGCAATCCATGCATGCAAGATCACATTCGACCATGTAAGGGATAATGTAGCCAAACCTTATTGGTCCAATTGCCACCTATCCATACAGCCAAGAAAGAGTTTTACATGCATAAAGACACCTCTACTTTACCCATGGTATTTAGCCATTACAAATGCAAGAAAGAATAGAGCTTATTTGAAGAAGTTTACCAGATCAAAGACTCTCAATTGTAAGTAGGGATAATGCACATTTGATTGAGTTTTGCAAGCATTTGGACTCTAGCCTTTTAGCCAATCCATTCCAAAAAGACTCTATCCATTCGACTATCTTATAGAGCAAGCTTCCATGTGACATTTGAACAATTGCAAGCTAATGTGGACTCTAGTACATTCGACGAAAGATAGTTTTATCCAAGGATGACTCTTTTGTTTAGCTTTGAAGAATTTCAAATGGAAGAGGACTTTATCTCTTTGAATTTCAAGAGATTGGATAAAAAGCAATTATCTTGTTTTGAATTCCACCCTAGCCAAATCAAGGAAGGAGTTTGAATCAAGATTGCATCAAGACAGATCACACAATCAAGATTGTTTATCAGGAACTTCAGTTGTCTTTTAAACTTTCCTTTATAAAAGGATTCTTTATTCAAGTTCTTCCTTTCTCAAAAGCTCAAGTTTTACTTTACTTTCTATTTTGTAATCTTGTTTTCTTGATCTAAATTTCTGCAAGCATTCATTTAGTTAACAAGTTTGGTTCAAGCATTCCTACTATAAAGCTTCATAATTTTGGGAGGAATTTTAGGAAACAGCTTGAGGTTGAATTGTTGCTGGTTGAAGAAAATGAACAATAGGAGGTGGCTATTTATAGGAGAGTGTTTGAAAGGATATTAGGATGACCAATGAGTGAGTCCAAGGGTGGGTCGGACTCAATCCTTTGGACCTGATAAATCTCAAAGATATTGGGATTTATCAAAGAGAAAATTTAGAGAATTATTTCTAGGCCTCATCTTCACGTGCGAACCGATCAATTCGGTATCCTTTTTCTGTTGACAAAGTTCCAAACTCATCTAGATTCATTCTTTATCCAAGTTGGATTCTTTGCAACCGATCAACGGATGTCTACTTTTTAGGCATTTGTCAAGCCCAAAGTTAAGACCAATTCGTAATTTCATCTCAAATTGGCCCTTATCCAACCACTGTTGGATTGAAATAAGCCTATCGATTGGCTAGCTAACCTATTTTTGCTTAATTTTGTTAACATGAGAAATTAACCAATCGCCGTTGATTAATTCAAGTATGTAAAATTTGGTACTTACACTGTACCATACTTATCTTTCAAGAAACGAATAATGTTTATTAACTTAAAATATTTAAATTATTTTCTCTTTCTGAAGATATTTTCGTTGTACATAAAAAAATATGAATGAATTTAAAATTATAAAATTAACACATAAATTGTATGTTTACTAATTGTATTTATTAATTTTGAAAATTTTATTTTATTTCTATAAAGAGAGTCTTAAAAGCCATGTTCTTTTCACTCTCAATATAATTCGACGAAAATATTTAAAAAAATGTGATTCATTTACCAATTTTATTAAAAAAAAAAAAAAAACTCTTAATGTGAGGACATAAAACCTAGCAATATCATATAAAAATAGATTTGAATTTTGAGTTACTCATAAACTTACTACTATCCTACTTTACAAAATATATAAATCCAGTAAGTATCACAAGCAAGAATTAATATTTCAAATGACAACTTTTAAAAGGAATAAATAAATTTTAAAGAAGAGTGTTGCAATAAACTTTTAAACCAACATTATAAGAAATCAGAAAACAAATTAATTAAACAAATTGTTAAAAGAATCCAAATACAATAGGACTCGAAACCTAAATCTTAGAGGTCCCAAGACTAATTTCTTTCTCATCAAGATAAGGGCTTAGGTAATCATAATTCATAAGTAAACTTTGTTTTAAAGATATTTTGCAAATTTCATCAGCAAGTCAAAATCAAGAACAAACAAAATAATTACAATATGGAATATACCAGTATGGAAGCAACCAACATCTATGTGGGTGTTAGTAGAGTGCTAGATTCTTAATTTCAGTAATTAGGTTAAAAAATTGACAACTTCAATTATAAAATATATTTATTTATTTATAGTATCAAAGCCAGAGAAGCAACCTCTCATGCAATAGTTTTGCAATAAAATTAATCAGTTCGTTTCCTTGCAAACAATTATAAATTTTCTTCAATAGTTACTGAAGCAAAAAGAAGGTTACATTGCCTTTGATTTCTAAACTACATCTATGTGACAAAAAAAAAAAAAAGGTCTTAATGACTTAAGCATAGAAGCTAAAGGAAGAAAAATAAGAAGAAAAAAAGGGAGGATGGGGAAACCAAAAATTAGTCTAATGCTGCGTTTGAAAGGTTAAACAAAGATGATACCAGCCGTGAGAATGGCAAGAATTCTTCTTTCTTAGGACGAAGATAAAGTTTTGTTTGCGCAAAAGGGCTACCTCTATATAGAATTTAAGCAACAACTTGGGATCTTACACAATCACTATAATTTTTTTTTTTTTGTAAAGAAAAAGATCAGTATAATTATCTACAGTCATGAACATATATGTATTAAGAAGCAACGAAAGAGCCTTTCCTGGTGAAAAATTATAATCAAAGGCTTGAGATCCAACCCTTTCCCTTGGAATTAATTAATTTTGCAAATGGTTCACCAAAGTTTAGTCATGATACCATTGATGAGGCCAATGGCATTTCACACTCATGTGAAGCAACGGATATATCATTTGAACTGCTTGAGGAAGAGCTACCGGCTCTCTTGATATTTCTTTCTTGGTCAATATCACTATTTTTAGCTTCACCAAATTGAGCGTGCCTTCCATTATTCTCAGGAGAACTTGGTGGAGATTTCGCATTCACATCAAGAACTTGTGCACCATCAATATCATTAACACCGGCAGCTGCACCACCACCATCGCCAGTACCCTCGGTGGCAACACCACCGTTCCCGTACAAGCTACCAATTACCATCCTGAATCCAAAGGCCCTTGACATTATCCGATATACTAATGTTAAGATCCAAAATATCCAAGGCATGCAAACAAGGGTGAAACCAAGAAAAGGAAGTAAATTCGAGGATTGAGATTCAGGAACGGTCATGTAAGCCAAAAGGCAGCCACCTCCGGCAGCTATACAGATGAATAAAATGCAACTGATGGCCCATATGCATGTGCGACCAGCCTTTGGATCTGGTTCAGGCATTTGGGAAATCTACAAAAAGATTCAAATAAATATAAGTTTCTTTCTCATGATGATCCATGTTTCTGATTAATGGGATCAGAAGGATCCATTAGAGTGGGATTTTCCCTAGGCAGGTTGTTGTCGTCGTTGTTGCAGGGTGGAAGGGGCTATGGTGGGATTCTCCGAGGTTAGAGCTTAGACGTGTTCAAAAGTTTGTTTACGTAAAATATGGTTAATTTGTGTCAAAACCACAAAGAGGGGAAGAGAAATACGAGCGAGAGAGAGAGAGAGAGAGAGAGAGACAACGTGTTTGGTTTATATTTTTGTCATGCAAGGTTGATAATATGTTCACCTCCTAAGACAAAGAAAAATTATATTTTTAAATTATTAAGTTAGCTCAAAATTATACATCACAAGTATGTAATTTTCAGCATTTGCATTACTGGTATCTTTTTATACTATTTATATTTTGATAATTTAATCATTAATTTTAAATTAGTATAACTAGCTCAACCTTAATGATGATCATTTTTAGATTAATCCAACATTATGGCAATTAATCTATGTATTCCATTTATAAAGGAAAAAAAAAATATGCTCACAATGATTTTAACGTAAACAGTAAATAAAATGCAAAGACCAGTTGCTTTAAGGAAAAACCCTTACTATCAAATATGTCCTTTATAACTTGGATATTCATGCAAGCACGGATCCTCTCTTCCAAATCCTTCCAAAATGAATTGTTAATTTAGTGAAGTATTTTTCTAGAACACCTATTGAACAACTTATTTAGATTTCTCTAACAAACTCTCAAAAGATAAACAAACCTTACCTTAATATATAAAAAAACTAAATTTAGTTGACTCAAAATAGTTCTATATTCCTTGTATGATTTATAGTATAGTGATAAATTTGTCTTTAACACCTTAAAAAATAAATTGCTATCAACAAACTTGTTAAGTAAAATGAACCAATCATACGTGATTTTTATAATAAATTTCATTTTCAATCATATGATCTGAAAAACTTAATTCATGACCATTTAAAATATTCTAAATTCATAAGTTCAAAAAAAATATATATATATATATATCATTAAAAATTGAAACAGAATATATCAATTACAATCTCACGTAGATATACATGTGACATAACTTTCAATCCAAAAGTGCCATGTTTCTTTTTGCACGAAATGGGAACTAAATCTTAAAAACCATATATTCAAAAATTACGAAGAATTTAACATATTTTTTAAAATCATAAATTCAAAAATAGAATAGATCAATTTGAAATATTTTTACAAATGTTAAATTCAAAAATTAAATTTTAAAAATCAAATATAAAGTTAAAATACTACTCAAAAATTATGAATATTTAGTGCAATTTATTCAAAGTTATCTTTAGCAATTTTTTTTTTTTTTTCAATTTGTCTTGCTAAACTCTCTTTAGTGGCGTCCATCGGACACTTCAAATACAAGCACTTTACAAGATTTGGTTCCGCCGTACCATTTTTCGCAGCAACTTTTTTTTTAATGTAGAAAGGCAATTAAATATTATTTTAAAAGAAGAATGCAATTAAAGATGCTCGTGTACATTAGCAAAGATTCCACTATAAAAATTACCGTTCAATATGAAAAAAAAAAAAAAAAGGGAAAAACGGAGCTAAAATCCGAACAGCAAACACTTTCTAATTTTCACCGCATAAAAACAAGCCATAAATATAAGGGTAGCAATATATTATAAAATTATAATTCAATAACAAAAAAACTGAAGTGTAACTAAAGCTCAATATCCTTAGACACTGATCTTTCCCGACGGAATTGAACTGTCTGTTCTGTTCCAATCATTCATTTTAAATTCTCTCTACATCATTAATACCAGTTCTTTAAAAAAAAAAAAAAAAAAGAGAAGAAAGAAAATTTTGAACCCTTACGACCAAAGAGAGATTGTTGATGCACAAAAGTTCCGAAACATTGTCCTAAGCAAACAACCCAACAACTTTGACTTGAAATTCTCTGCTTGGAAATTTTATATTTGAAGTGCTAGAATGCAATGAGGTTACATAATGAGAATGCATTGGTAGCACGAGACCCCATGAGTCTTCCCATGCAAAACTCCAAAATGAGCTTCAACAAATTAGTCAAGAATAAATGTGGTAATTAATTACAGACTGAATATTTGTGCTAATTACACAGGCATAAATGACACGAAAAATGCATAAAGTGGCAAGATAAAGTATCATTAATATTTACTTTAGAAGTTTCAGGAGTGACTAAACATAAAAGAGCCTCCAATTAGTGGTCCAAATGCTAGATTATAGCCTCTGAAAATCTTCAAAGCACTTGCTCCTCAACGTTTCAATCGTTCAGGTTGTGCATGCCTAAATTATTCCTCATAGCCTGCACTCATAGTGAGACATGCATGAGTTCAAATTAGTTAAATGGGCTTACATTCTGCTGCTAGTTACTAACTGCCTCTGTTATTGAATCGGACATGTTTTCAACAGTATCTGCCATGACAGAAGCAAGCATCTGGTGTCTTCTCTGTTCATGAGCTTTCCTTCTATTGGTTTCAAGGATAATCATAAGAGCAGTGATATCAGCAGGACTAACCCCACCCACTCTGCTTGCTTGACCAATTGTTTGTGGCCTGACCTGTTAGGATTACATTTAAACTTCAATTACAATTGACCAAAACCTCATCTGAGGAGAACCAGATTTCACAATTTTTTGAACAATTTATCCAGGCTAACTCTCTCCCTATTGTGAACTTAGTCCATCACTCAATTAGTATTGAGTGACAACTCAAGTAAATTCGGGTTAAAGGTTGTGTATTCAAGCCATTCCAGGTTAAACTGGAAAAGAAATATCACTTAATATAGTTTGCAAGCAAAATATTTCAAAGCACACACACAGACAATCACACATTAATCACTTGTTGAGTTACTTTCGACTGGATGACAATCTAAATAAGATCCCCAAAAGGAACGAATTTCCACTCCTTTTGTAGCATGAATTAAAATATGTATCTTTCATGAAATTAATAATCCAAATTTTTATGCTACAGACCTTGGAGAGTTTTTCACGTGCTTCAAGAGACAAAGTTGTTATTGCATAGTAATCCAAGTCCTCCGGAAGTCGTCTATGTTGTTGATGGATCATCTGCAAGAACAAGGGTTGGAAATTTGACAAAGAAAATAAACAAACCAGAAACATTATTAAACTGCATAGCTATAAATTGATGCAAAGGAGTGTAGACTGTGGCTAATATACCAAGTGCTATGGTGGAATAGAATGATGTTTCAGGCTGCAATTATAAATTCATACCTGTTGGAGCTGGTTTTGTTGACGAATAATGAAGCCCTCATACTTTATATCGATTTCAACACAGTCTTTCTCCATTCTTGATAACATTTCATTTCCGAAACCATGCTTATCAAGAACTTTATATCCTATGTGTGGTTTCTTAAGAAGAGACTCTAGTGTTGAAGATTCCTTCACAGGTTGACCAGAAAGGTGAGAAACATTAGCAGCCAAGTCTCCTCCTGATAGAAACCAGAAAATGTTGCCCAGTTTTTAATTCCAAAAAGTCACAAACTTCTATTATTGCTTATAATACTATGAAGGATTAATCAAGCTGAAATTCACATTAATGATGAAATTTGATGCAAAGAATTCAGTGATCAAGCATCTAGAAAAGAAGAGGCCACTAACAACAGCCATGAAATTTGCAGCCAAACCTTCCAATTTATTATTGTTTTGGAACAATATCCATGCACTATGATGGCAACTCTCTTCAATTTGGCTCTGGTTATATTTTTCTCAAGGGCAGAGAAAGCTCAGAGACACATAAGAAATTACGGCCTTACTCTCTTAAGATTTGCATCAATTAGTCCTATCGTGCAAGGTCGAGAAAAGAAAAGGTCAATGGTGGGTGGAGGACTAATAAAACAATAAAAGATTTAAATCGAGGCACAGTAACACAAAGAATATTGATGATCCATAAATATACAGGATCAATCTTGGTCTCTCATACAGCAAGCAAATTGAATAGCAGAGAAAAACTAATGTTCCCCATGTACAAATCTGCTAAATTGCTTCCACAAAAGTTTCCCCTTTCCCAACTCCATTAGCTATTAGTCTTCTTCCAAATTAAAAAATAAAAAAGTTCCTGATATAATTTGCAAGCTGCAGGCTGTCAAGGAGGAGGGGAAAAAAAAAGAAAGAACGCAAACCTGAAATCCTGACAGTTTTCAACCGCCTTTTTTCCTCTGAAATCCTTGCTTGTTTGTCCTGGTATATTTTCCAGCGCCTATCATTTATCAACCCAATTTCACGCCCCAAAGGTGTGAGACGACTATCCGCATTATCCGATCGAAGAAGTAATCGATGTTCTGAACGACTAGAAAGGGGAGAAGGGGGAAAAGGAAAAGGAAAAGAGACAAATAGACATGATTAATTTGTTCAGTTTGATGCTAAAATCACTCAATCAAGTCTACCAGAAGACAGAACTAATGGATTATAAAATTAAAGAGAAACATCGTTTATAAACTAAAATGGGAGTTCATAAACAGCAGTCCGAATAATAATGCCTAGCAATTAGCATATAGCTAGAATGACATAAAGCCTTTTCCCTTCTAGTTTTTTTCTCTACCCAAGATTTGCAAAGCAGTTCCAGAAGTACATTCATTTCAGGGCTGTGCATAAAAAATGCAGAAACCAAAACACCAAATTGAACCATAGTATTCAATTCAGTTTGAACAGCTTTTAATGGTTTTGGTCTGGAAAACTATGAACAATATTCAGTTCAGATAAAACAAAGCCCAATAATCTAAACTAAGCCAAATTTAATTTTTATTAATATAAATACTAATCTTTCTAAATTTAAAAATACGAAGTCATAAAGACATTAATATACTAATAAAAATCAAGCAACCAAACCATGAGAATTCAGTTTAGTTTGATTCAAGTTTTTACCCAATTCCATTTGGTTTTGGTTTTTTCCTATTGAAAACCTAAATACTTCAATTTAACCTGAATTTTTTTCAAAAACCAAACCAAACATTATACAATTCTATTGAAAAGGCCAGCAAAGTAACTCTAAATAAATGTAAATTCAATAAAACTTTTTTAAGCAACTAATTAAATTATATTTGATTGTTGACTTAAAAGTTTTATTCCATAAAAAAACTAATTAAATATTTTTATATTATCTCAAAGCTCGAACCCATATAATATTTTTGCTTGGCAAGAGGCCAAGAGATAATCCTATTGCCTTTTGGACTTAGACTAATTGGAATGGAATTTGGGCCAGACTATTTGCTCCTTGTACATGTCCCAGTTATAATTAAAAGGAAAGCCCTGATTTTTCTAATATTCTTCTTTGTCTACTTCAGTGCTGGAGCAGCACTATCTTCTCTTCCCTTTTTTGCCAGCCAGTGGCCAAAATACAGACTTGGATTCTCTCCCTCTCTCTCTATTCTCCTTCTTCTTTCAGGTGCAAGTGTAGCTAGCCAAAGAGCAGAGACTGTGTCTGTATGATAAATGCCTTGTTGGACACATATATCGTGCCCGTATTGGTGTCATGTCATGCTAACACCAATACAGTGACTCAAAATGGCGAGTCCATGTAACAAAGAGCATGACTATATGGCAAAGACAATAAATCCCAGGTTGTGGACACGCATCACCAGCTCAAGAACACAGAAAGCATCATTATTTCAGCTAATATATGATGATGGTAACAAAGGATTACACAAATGGTCTGTGAAATTAAATGAAGATTAATAGGTCTTCAAAATTCATATGAATCTTCATATAAGAAACTAGATGTAACAGCATATGTGAAGAATGTGTAATTACCCTATGCTCAAATCATTATTCTCATACACGAGATCAAAGAGCAAAAAGGATTGGCATTATAAGCGTAGAAATCATCATAACAACAGCATGAATCTGGAGCTGCTTACCTTGTTAACATGCGGTAAGGCTCTCGAAGATCCTTAGTGACCAGATCATCAATCAGTGTTCCTATGTAACTGCTTTCCCTCTCAAGAACAATAAGGGGCTTCCCATCCAAATGTCTGGCAGCATTAATACCAGAAATGATGCCCTGTTTAAAAGAATTTTGAAAAAAAAAAATAAAAAAAAGAGCCACAAGGGTTTGTTGATATTTAATGCAGAAACTCTCAAAAAGTTCAATAAGGAATTCTATTTCCACTGGGTACAGGCACCATAATATACAGCAGGAAACTGGAAACTTAAATGTGTAAACCTGTGCAGCAGCTTCTTCATAGCCAGTAGTTCCATTTATCTGACCAGAGAAGAATAAACCTTCAATTTTCTTTGTCATAAGAGACCTAGAGCACTGATGAGCTGGCAAATAATCGTATTCAACAGCATATGCAGGTCTTAACATCGAACAATTCTCAAGTCCAGGCAAAGTTCTCAAGAGTGGTAACTGTAGTCTTTCTGGTAAACCCGTTGAGAACCCCTGTCAAAGCGACAAAACAATCAACTATTACAAAACAATCAACTATTTATGTTAAAGAGGAGATGATGCATGAGAATTTACATGATACGGACATACTAAAAAGCAACATGTGACTTTCTTAATATGATAAATAGGCAACCCAGCACATATTCAGCATGTTTAAACAATGAACACAACAACTATAATAGAAAAAGTGGAAAAAAAACCAGAAATAAAACATTCATCGGACAACCCAATAACAAACTAATTTCAGAACCTTGGTAGAGAAAGATTTTTCAAAGAGGAAGGTTTTAATATCAATGTTTCCTCTTAATTTGAAAGACAATATAGAACAAAAGTAAGAATTCATAGGATACCCTTCATAGAATAGCCCAACAAACAATAATGCATATTGTAGTTAAATGAGTCAAATTAAACCTCAGCAGAAAAAGATTTTTCAAAGAGCAAGGATTAATCAAAGTTTCCACGTAATTTGAAAGGCAATGTAGAATAAAGAAAGAAATTTCATAGCATGCCCTTCAAAGAAGTCAAACATCATCCTTTTGCTCCCTTCCTAACCCATTTTCCTAGGCTAAAAATCTATAAATGGCAACTCTTCCATACATAATGGAAGAAAAGCTATCATCAAGTCACAAGGCATAGCCAAGCAATTATCTGTCCCATTTTCCCCATATTATTGGTAAAGGAGGCACCAAAGCATTACCTGCACATAGAGCTCAGGTACAGTCCGACCCTCTGGTTCAAGAAAAATCTGATGAGACTCTTTGTCTTGAAATCTCACAATCTAAAGAAACAAATGGGAAAAAATGTAACAAAAGAAAGTAAATTACATTATTTGGAAATTTCAAATTCAAATGCTTAAATAGAAAGGGCACTTTTTTTGAGAAATATTATCAGCAAATAAGGTTGAACCAACAATGCAGCAGCATCCTTGAAGGCTTAAATTGTATTAAAAACATCACATTTTGAAAAGGTAAAAAGATTCATCTATGTATTATTAAAAAATAGCTCGGTGGATTATGGTGCTTTTAATTACATAATTCTACCATACAGAAACAATTCAAAAAGCCAGAGTTACACTTGTAGATGTAATATCAGATGAGAATATGGTCAACAAATAAAAATCTCCAGCAATAGCAAGAATTCTCTCTAGGCATTAATATATGTATATACAGGTGGCTAAACTCTAAGCTGTTTCTGTTCATATATCTAGCTTTAAACAGAAGTACGTGAATATTCACAATCTTATTGCAACTGACAATCTTATAGCAAAATGAACACAAGTGAAATAATAGCTCTTTAAATATTTAAGATATCATGTGGAACTCTAAGAAGTGCATGGTAAGAGTGAAAAACAAAAAGGACAGACTTCAATAAGGGATAATTGAAACACCACATACAAATATAGCACTACAGCATAACAAGACTTTTCTATGCTAGTTCAACCAATGAAAGTAAAAACAAGTGAAAATAGTAGCAGTTTAAAAATCTCTAAGAAGTTCATGTAAGAATGAAAAACTAAAAGGAAATACTTCAACTAGCAATAAGTGAAACACCATAGATATAAAGTTACCTTATCTTCAATGGAAGGGCAGTATCTAGGCCCCTTAGCTTCAACCCATCCTCCATAGGTAGGAGTTTCATGCAAGTTATCCTTAATAAGCTGGTGGGTACTCTTTGTAGTCCGCGTCAGATAACAACACATTTGTTCCCTTTCAATGTGGAAATCAGGATCAAAACTAAACCAGCTGACCTGCAAATTATTAATTCACATTTCAAAAACAATTATAAGAACCAAAAATATCAGTAAATTGTTCTCCTTTTTTATTTTTTTATTTTGACCAAAACAAATACCAGTAACTTCCTAGTGCAATTAATCACTAAAAGGAAAAGGTATGATAAGTTCTAAGCAGCATACAAGCTAACAATATTGCATCATGAAATCTTATGTTGTTAACAGGTAGTTTCTGTAATCAAGAAGAATGACATCAACCAAAAAATTTTCTGCTCCTGGAACAGCCCATCCCTTCTAGGCCAAATACAGTGCCATACGTAGTTGAAACAATAAAGTTCATACTGTGGTGAAACTGGAAACTTTGCCGCTCTCACTGTGGTGAATGTAAGAATTTTAATATAAAGCCCAAGGATTTTTAATTTATACACAAGTTAGCAGGCTGCAAATTTTGAAGCATGATTTAATATCCTGACTTTTACAATATTAATCCACTGAACCCACTCATGAGATTAAATGGAAGGACCTCTTCATCTCCATGCTGAGGCTCCAAAACAGAAAAATCAACAGTACGACAATCCACTCGTGCCGGGGTTCCAGTTTTTAATCGATCAGTTTCAAATCCAAGACGTTGCAAGTTCTCAGTCAGACCATGTGATGCAGACTCACCAGCTCTTCCAGCAGGCATAGAAGTTCTACCAACCCATATTTTACCACTCATAAAAGTCCCAGTTGTCAGTATAACAGCAGGGGCATAGAAGTTCATTCCAAAAAATGAGCAAACACCTTCAACATTGTCATTCTTTCCGAGCAAAATATCTGTCACCATTGCCTCTCTAATTGAAAGATTGGGAGTGCTGAAAATAGAAGCCAACCTACTGGTCAGTGAAAAGAATAGAAAAAAAAAATTATCCATGAATGCGTGCATGTTCGCATTATTATAAACATAGATACCTGGCCCAAAGTAGGCAAAAAGCGGTAAACCAAGTTGATTTGATCTGATTTTGGAAAATAAAGGATCTCAATTAATATTTCTATTATGGTAGAGAAGCATTTTTAGAGTTTTCCAACATAATTGCTCTTGTGGCTGTTTGAAGCAATCAACCTCAGCTGTGGCTATCAAGGACCAACGGTTAGCATTGGAATTTATTCATCTTCTCTTCTTTATTTGATTTTCTACCGTTCTCTGAAGAATTCAAATCTAAAAGCAAACCGTGAGACTCTGATCACAGTAGTCATTCTCTGTCAGTCCCAGAAGGGAAATTTTTTTATTAACAAACTTATACCACCACCGCCTGTGAACACTTAGTCGACCTCCCATTATATTACAAAAATGCAACAATATGAGGGGCACATTTGTTTCTTTATCATGATTTTTTAATATCAGAATTAAGAACTCTATCAATTGCTTTTGAGTATAACAATTCAATCACAAATACTCATATAAGATATGTGCCTAACTATAAGCTGGAAATATCATGAATAGGGAAGTTAATCAGCTGATCGGATACTGTTACTGCTGTCCAAGGTTTACTTTTAATAAAATATATTAATTACACTTAAAAAATACAATTTGATAATTGATGCTACAAATGGATATGTAAATAGGAATAAACAAAAAGAAACTTGCCTCTCTACCACATTTTTCATTTGCATTGCATATTCCCTTTTGTCAGTTTGTGCACGCAATGCCCGGACAGCAGGACCTCTTGAAGCATTAAGAACACGCTTTTGTAAATAGCACCTAAAAGTACCAAAAGTGCCAAAAGTCAAAAATGAAGAGGGTAATCACTGTTTCTATTACATTAAGGAAGAACTAATTGTCATCTAAGCTAAAATGAGATTGCAAAAAGGATTATGTCTCACATGAAAAACAAATTAATTGGCATCAACAGTTAAAATGAGATTGTTGCTTTTGCGCGTTGTTCTTCCCAAGAAGTTGCTAAAAAACAAAATCATATCTGATAAAAAAAAATAAGCGAATATACAAATTCATATCCCATAAAAGTTAAACTTTTTTTTCAATTATTCATAAATATTCTTTGGTTTTATGTTCACACACATTTTGCTTTTAGGCATTAGCTTCCCAGAGTAAAAACAATTAGCAAAGCCAACAACCTTGGTGAACAAAAACTTGGAGATTTGAGGACATTACCTATCAGCAATCTTTCCAATTTCACCGCCGAGCGCATCCACTTCATGTACAAGTTGTGATTTTGCAAGTCCACCCACCGCTGGATTGCAAGGCTGTAAGTAACAAAAACTCAAATTATGCCATTAACAAATATTTGTGTCATAGCCTGCAATTTCTTAACTTTGATTCAATAAGATGATAAAAGAGAGATAACCTGCCACGCTATCCGATCAATGTTTAGGGTAAGCAGCAAAGTTTTGGCACCCATCCGAGCGGACGCAAGAGCAGCTTCACAACCTGCGTGTCCTCCTCCAACCACAATAACATCAAACTTTTCCTGACCAGCACCCTTATGCTCTGCAACTTTCCAAATAAGACAGTTAAATTTAAAAAGTTGAATAACCATCCAACACGAAAACCTGCTCGATGAAATGTCTGAACCAATACATACCCGAATCGATAGCGGGGAGAGAGGAAAAGCACCGGAAAGAGAATTTTTTGAGCATTGAGAAACGAAGATTGTGGCGCGAGGGGGCGAAGGCGTGTTTATAAGGAAGAGAGGAAGGAGAGAGAAGTGAAGAGAAAGGGAAGTGGTGGCGGGAGAGGTGGACGGATAACATTGACATTTTTTTTTATGTTGTTTTAGGAATGAGAAACCACTGTTCCTGTTTCATTTCATAAGTGAAAGTCTGTTTAACTGGTTTTTGTTGATTTGCCTTTGTAGGGCTGCAGCTTTCAGTAATGCTATCGGATTATAATTCGGGCCGGGCTGTGTTTCGGGTCAATTTAAATGTTGACCCGGCTTTACGTTTAATTGTTGCGGCTATTTTGGCAGTGGAGGTCTGGAGCTTAACTGGATGGTTCGATGGTCCGATAGATGGAAATTGAACTTGCAGGAAGGAAAGAATAATTAGGAGGTGTTGGAAGTTTATTTTCAGGATACATTTCGATAATTAAGTCAGTCGTACGAAGGAGGTTAAGGTAAAAGAAGGAGAACAAAGGTGCCAAGAGCAAAAGAAAAGTTTAGGGAAGATGACTTGAAATTATTACACATGATTTTCTCTTTTACTTAATATTTAATATTCGTGTTATATGTGATATATGTGTGGTTAATATAAATACCCTATTTAGTCTATGATCATATGTAAATTCTGAAATTTATTTTTATTTAATAAATTTTTTGAGCTTTCAATTGATTCTGTGAGTTAAAATAGGCAATTGAGTGTAGGATACGACAATGTGGCCTTAGTTGGATTATTGGGTTGTGTGTGGGCTCTAAACCAAGTTCAATTTTTTTTTTTTGATGAATTTTATTTTCATCTTATTTATCTCTTTTGTAAAAATTTTTAAAAAAATTAAAATTGAAATTAAAAAATTAGGACAAGATAAAGAAAATGATAAATAGTACATTTTGAAAATCTGCAATAAAGAAAGGGGAATTGGATGTTCTTAAAACTAATCTCTGTGAAGATAAACTTTCAAAATTGAATCTTTTAAAGATAAAAGCTAAGATAATTTTTAAGATCAACCTTTTGTTTCGATTTAGAGTTCTAAATGAGCTGGGACTAAATACCTATATAAGCAATAATAATTCAACAAAATAGATACGAGAGGATGAGGCAATCACAAAGAGAAGCAAGTTAAAAAAAAAAATAATTTGACAGTAAAGTTTTAATTTAAAGAGATTTGATTTGGGGAATTTGATTTTTTGTTGGAGTTTGATTCAGTTTACTTTCAAAGAAACCAGTGTTATTGAAAGATTCGAGAGACCCAAAATATTCAAATTGGCGTTTTTGTGGTTTTCTCTAAAAACTTTTAAAAAAAAATTTTAAGTTTATGATAAAATTTTAAATTTTTCGACGAAAAATTTATCAATATTTATAATTTTCAATGACTTTTTCAAAAGTTTTGAATTTTTTAATGTACATTTAAATTTTCAGCCTCAATTTCTAAAAAATGGTCAGATTTGCCATCATCACTACTATACTTTTAAAAAGAAGGCAAAGAGTAGCGAGAATAGAGTAATAGGGGAAAAGGTTAACCAAAGAAAAATATGACTTTGGGCTGTTTATTCAACGCCGAAATGACGATGTTTTTATTCTTAAAAAGTTTTGCAAAACCCCCGTGTCGACCCGTTAGGATCCACGCATCCATTCGGTCTCAACCCGTTCCATACCGCAGGTTTCCTTTTTTTATTTTCTTTATTTCATTTCTTTATTTTAATTGTTTTATGGGTTTTATTTTCTTATTATTATTATTATTTATTTGTGTTTTTGACATATTTTGTTTGTTTAAATTGTTTAAATAAAACTTTAATAAAATTTGGAAAATAAATCATAATTATTCAAAGATGATATTTTTAAAAATTAAATATAGATAATTTTTTAAGAAATTTCTTTATATGAAATTTTTTTACATTTGACTCAAATGAAGAAAGAATTTAAATGAAGTTTCAACAATAATAATTAATATTATTTTTAAAGTAAAAAAAAACTTTATAAAATTTTAGGAATGAGTTAAGAATTATCCAATAATGAGATTTTAAAAAAATTCAAATGGATAATTTTTTAAAAAAATTTTAGGTGAAGAATTTATCTAAATTTAACTTAGATAGTGAAATAATTTAGATGAAATTTTAACAAAAATAATTACATTAATTTTCAAATCAAATAAAAAAATATAATTTATAAATTTGTTTAAAAATATATAACAATTATTCAAAGATGAAATCTCTAAAAAATCATAAATGATTGATTTTCTTAAAAATTTCTAGGTGAAAAACTTTTCTAAATTCACCAAAATGGTGAAAAGTTTAGATAAGGTTTCAAAAAAAAATTGGCATTTATTTTCATTCTAAAAATTAGGAAGTGAATAATGAATAAAGCTATATAATAAAAGTCTTAAAAATCACAAATGGATAATTTTCTAAGTAAGAAAAATATTTATAAATTTAGCTTAAATGGTAGAATTTAGATATATTTTCAATACAATAAAAAATCAGAAATAAAACTTACAAAATAAAGTATAAGTCCGATGATGAAATTCTTAAAAATCACAAACGGATGATTTTTTAAGAAATTTTAAGGTAAGAAAATATTTTTAAATTTAACTTAAATAGGAAACATTTAGATATATTTTTTATAAAATAAAACTTAATAAAAAGCATAAATGATTGATAACTTTTTTTGACTATAAAGTTTCTTTAAGAAAATAAAAAGGATTCTTGAATACTCTCAAGATAAAAAAATATTTTTAAAAATTCTACCAAATTGATGAAAAAATCTTAGAAATTATTATCAATATTTAAATATTAAAATAAATGATCATTAAAACTAGGATCCCTAAGATAGTTTGAATTAGTAGGTATTATCTTTTAGACAGGTGTGTGGAGCTGTAATAACATTTCTCATACGTAACTAAACTCTAGAACTTAATTTTAAAACGCAGACTAGAACCTATCATTTTAGCAACTCTTAGTCAAGTTTAGAACTTCTTTAAAATGATAGATTCACCTTGGTAGTGAATCACACCTGAACAAAAAAAAAAGATTAGTGGTAACTTCTAAAATTAGGTTTAACGGTAAGTTTACGAACTTATACACTGTGACAGTTTGACGACTTCGCTGGAGATATATGCTAGAGTGTCGAGCCATAAAATTTTAAATTCACCTTAATCTTTGGTTTAATGGTCTTAAATTGTAATTATTATTTTATAAGTTTACTAACTTTTTTTTTGTTTTTCATCTTTTCCTTGATTTAGGGAAAATTGAAGTTGAAAACCATATATGTTCTTTCAAACATATATTTATTTGCATTACATGAGCTCTATACCCAGGCTTCGTCCCTTTTAGGAGGGAGTAAAGTACTTATACTCTCATGAGATGATAATCTCCACAATGGCTAGTAAAATACTCGTACTCAAATTAAATCATTTCTATTGTAGCTTATGATGAATAAGGATTAGAATACCTTACAAGTTTATCATAGATAATGATGTGGAGAATAATTTGGGAACCTTTAGTGGTTAAAATCACTTAGCCTTGCATATAGTCCATACTTAATAGCCCAACCTTAAAATAAAGTCATTCTTACCCATTGTTAGATGTAACCCAAATTAAGACACAACAAGGAATAGTCGTGTTATATATTGGTTATCCAACTATTTTATTATCTGTTTATTTAGTCATTTGACTTTGTGCATTTGCATCATTTGTCATATAGGGAATATTTGCCACATTTTAGTTATTGATAAACCAAATCTTGTATCTACATTTATGGAAAGTCAAATGCAATCAAAGTTTACATTAACTCATTACAAATCTTCCCATCAATTGAAAGCTAAGTCAGAGGAAGTCCAAAGAAAAAAGGGTGATTGTTTGCCTAAATATTTTGTCTCATTTCTTTTTGAGAGAGTTCATCTTGATCTCTAACAAAATGACTTGATCGATTTAAGCAATGTTTGGAAGTGTATGAGGAAAACAAGAAAGAAAACACTTAAGAATAGATATAGGGACACAATTTCACTTCTCTAAGTAGATATGGACTATAATTTGATAAAAGCTATGATGTAGTTTTGGGATCCATTTTATAGGTGCTTTGTCTTCAACTAGAAGTTATAGTTCCAACAATTGAAAAGTACATGGTCTTACTTTGCTTTGATTTGTCAAATCTAGACAAAATCTACTAGTTGAATAAAGTATGTTATCACAAGAAGCTTGTACAAATGTTCTGACCCAACTCTCCTTAGGTTGATACATGTGTTAAGCCGAAAGGCAAAAGTAAAGGTATTCCATAAAGTTTTCTATGAAATTTCATTCATGAACACTTGGATGATGATCAGGGAATAGTGGCAATGGCCATAGTTATGTATGGGTTAGTAGTCTTTTAAAAGTGCTCGGATATGTTAAAGCTACAATGGTAGATTTTATCGATCAAATGAAGCATAAAATAAATGCAATGCCAAATATTCTAACAGAAACCCTCCGATCCTCGAATTATTATTGTAAAAGTGGTAAAAATTGACTCAACGAGTGTGTACAATTACTTTATGTCTAGATGAAAAGTTATCTTGAATACAAAGAAAGCAAGTTTTGTAAAAAGTATCTTTTTTCTAACATTTCGGTCAAGGAATTTTGCTTAAGCACATGGTTAAAGGCAAAATTGAAAGATGATTGGATTTCATGTTTACACAAGCCTAATAGCCAAGAGATAGTTTAAAGAGCACTTTGGATGCATCATGATTTTGTATTATACAGTTGTAGGAATCAACCTTGGGTTTTTCATTTAGGTTTTTGGGGTGCTATTAACTATGCCCCAACCATGCTGTGAAGATAGTCTGGATGTGAACAATTTATTCTAAAAACATGCAAACTCAACCAGTTGGAGTTCTCTTTTATTGAAAAAAAAGGCCTATGAAAGAATTGAAAGAATAAAAAAGGGATAGAAACAAACCATCAGAGTTAACCAAGGGAAACTCACGTATGATGTTACTCCTAAGTATTTTGTATGGCATGTTAGAAGGGGTAAAGATATTGTGCTTCCTAAAAATGAATAGTTGACCATTCTATAGAACCAACTCCTCAAGATCTCTTACTAAAGATAGAAACTTCCAAAAGAAAGCTCCAAATTGATAGAAAAAGCTTGAATGAGAAAATAAATGGCTGAATAAGGAAATGGGAAAGAGTTTGGAGTTTCAAGAGAATAAAATTCAAAGCCTTACTAAGGAAAAAGAT